AGATGAGACCAAGATCAACTTGTACCAGAGTGATGGGAAGAGAAGAGTATGGAGAAGGAAAGGAACTGCTCATGATCCTAAGCATACCACCTCACCAGTGAAGCATGCTGGTGGTAGTGTCAATGGCGTGGGCATGTATGGCTGCCAATGGAACTGGTTCTCTTGTATTTATTGATGATGTGACTGCTGACAAAAGCAGCAGGATGAATTCTGAAGTGTTTTGGGCAATATTAGCTGCTCATATTCAGCCAAATGCTTCAGAACTCATTGGACGCCGCTTCACAGTGCAGATGGACAATGACCCAAAGCATACTGCAAAAGCAACCAAAGAGTTTTTTAAGGGAAAGAAGTGGAATGTTATGCAATGGCCAAGTCAATCACCTGACCTGAATCCGACTGAGCATGCATTTCACTTGCTGAAGACAAAACTGAAGGGAAAATGGCCCAAGAACAAACAGGAACTGAAGACAGTTGCAGTAGAGGCCTGGCAGAGCATCACCAGGGATGAAACCCAGCGTCTGGTGATGTCTATGTGTTCCAGACTTCAGGCTGTAATTGACTGCAAAGGATTTGCACCAAGTATTAAAAAGTGAAAGTTTGATTTATGATTATTATTCTGTCCCATTACTTTTGGTCCCTTAACAAGTGGGAGGCACATATGCAAACTGTTGTAATTCCTACACCGTTCACCTGATTTGGATGTAAAATACCCTCAAATTAAAGCTGACAGTCTGCAGTTAAAGCACATCTTGTTCTTTTTATTTCAAATCCATTGTGGTGGTGTATAGAGCCAAAAATGTTAGAATTGTGTCGATGTCCCAATATTTATGGACCAGACTGTATAAAACATTTTGTGCTCAAATAGCATATACATACTGTAAAAATGACCATCCTACAGATCTAAACCTGTAGCTCTCGTACAACTTGTGTCTATTTTCCCTATATAGGCACTGCAGCCACTGCAGCATTTACATTTTGCAGAGCAGAGTTGGGACTGGCCATAAAGGGATTACTTTGATGCAGTTGCCAGCTTAACTACCTGCCGACCGCAGATAGCCGAATGACGGCTTCACTGCGGCCGGCCAGTTCTGAGTGGACGTCATGTGACGTCCCCCCAGAACGCGCTCTCCTGCGCGCCCCAGGGGGGGTGCGCACCCGGCGATCTCCGTGATCACTGTGTCCTACGGACACAGCTGATCACGTGATGTGGTAAAAGGCCAATCACAGCGGCCTTTTACCACCTGATCAGCGGTGTCCAATGACACGCTGATCAGAGGGAAATGCAAGTGCCGGTTCTCGGCTGCACTTTCCTCACGCTGTCAGATCGTGAGGAAAGTACTGCCGAGAACCGGCAGTTGTCAGAGCGGGGATCGGCACCGATCATCAGGGCACTGATGATCAGTGCCCTGATGATTGGTGCCCAGCAGTGCCACCCGCAAGTTCCGCCCACCTGTACCCAGCAGTGCGCCCCACTAGCTCCGCCCACCTGTGCCCAGCAGATCACCCACCTGTGCCCAGCAGAGCACCCACCTGTGCCCAGCAGATCACCCACCTGTGCCCAGCAGAGCACCCACCTGTGCCCAGCAGTGCACCCACCTGTGCCACTCTGCAGTGCCACCTACCTGTGCCCAGAAGTGCCACCTACATGTGCCCAGCAGTGCCACCCACCTGTGCCCACCCACCTGTGCCCACCAGTGCCACCCACCTGTGTCCACCCACCAGTGCTGCCCACCAGTGCCACCCACCAGTGCAGCCCAGCAGTGCTGCCAGTCAGTGCCACCAGTCAGTGCCCAGGGGTTGTGCCAGTCAGTGCTGCCAGTCAGTGCCCAGCAGTGATGCCAGTCAGTGCCGTCTATCAGTACCCATCATCAGTGTCACCTATCAGTGCCGCCTATCAGTGCTGCATATTAGTGCCGCCTATCCGTGACACCTCATTAGTGCTGTCTATCAGTGCTGTCTATCAGTGCCGCCTATCCGTGCCACCTCATTAGTACTGCCTATCAGTGCCCTTTAGTGCTGCCTATCAGTGCCCATCAGTGCTGCCTATCAGTGCCCATCAGTGCTGCCTCATCAATGCACATCAGTGAAGGAGAAAAAATGCCTGTTTGAAAAATTTTATAATAGAAACAAAGAAACTTTTTTTTTTTTAAATTTTTTTGCACTTTTTTATTTATAGCGCAAAAAGTAAAGTGCCCAGTGGCGATTAAATACCACCAAAAGAAAGCTCTATTTGTGAGAAAAAAATGATCAAAATTTCATATGGGTACAATGTTGCATGACCGCGCAATTGTCAATCAAAGTGCGGCAGCGCTGAAAGCTGAAAATTGGCCTGGTAAATAAGGGGGTATAAGTGCCTGGTAGGCAAGTGGTTAAACATGTATTGCAATGTATGTGAAGTAAAAATCAATGTTTTTTGTAAAGTTTGCTAGAAACAGTATATAGCACCGTGGATAGCACAGTGGGCACGAAAAGCCATTTCCAGTGGCTCCCAAAAGATAGTCTTGTGTATGTAAAGTGTTTGAAATTGAAACATAACTATAGTAAAGATCATTAAATATTATCCAGTCTGCTGTGAGTTTACCAAATTTGGTTTGAAAAAAGTGGCCTTTACAATCATCTCTACATTTGGATCCATATACATGTACCAAAAGATTTTTTTCTCTAGACTGTGGTAGGTCCATCTCAAAGCAGACTTCAAACAGATAATTCAGAAGTGGGTGTGCAACTGAAACTGACATCCTACAGTCCAGACACAGCACTACTAAACCAAGAAAGGGATAAGGGTCCCACTGGAACTGAGTCCAGTCTACTGTTCAGTCCTTGCTAACAGTAAATATGAACAAATATTCACCCATTTATATAATATTAATTAATGAATTTAACATGCCACTAGCAGTACTACTTTAAGTGCAAGAAATTAAAAACCGATATGGCAAGGGTGCGCTATAATTCACGGGCATGCCGATGGTCTAATGGCTGTACATTGGCACCCTATGGTGGAAAAAGTTCACTGATGTACATTATAGGTATTTGCTCCATGTTCTATTTTTGCTCTCTCTTGTCACCTGTCCCATGTGCACAGTGTAGTGCAGGCTCATCCATTTAGTGCAGCAGAGGTCAGTCCTCCTCTATGTGACTGCAGACTGGAGGGATCAACCCTCTGCCTTCCACACCCTTTTCATCCTCCTGCAGTGTCAGCAAAATCTGCTCATCTACCCGCATGGACTGACTTCTCACATGGAAGAATAGACTGCATAATCCACCACTGAGTGTACTTCTAGTTCCAAATTATCTGCAAAAAAGAGCTTTCCAAATGAATGAATTGTTATACATTTGTATATTGGATTCAAATGGCCAGAGCTGATTATGATTATTTCCACATTCATTCATCTAGTATCTATCTATCTATCTATCTATCTATCTATCTATCTATCTATCTATCTATCTATCTATCTCTATCCCTATCTATCCTATCTACCTCCCTATTATCTATCTATCTATCTATCTATCTATCTATCTATCTATCTATCTATCTATCTATCTATCTATCTATCCTCTACCTCCCTATTATCTATTTATCTATCCATTTACCAACTCTCTCTCTTTCTGCTATCTGTCTGTCTATCTATCCCTCTATCTATCCAATTACTATCTATCTATCTATCTATCTATCTATCTATCTATCTATCTATCTATCTATCTATCCATCTGTCTATCTATCCATTTACCACCTTTCTCTCTTTCTATTATCGATCAAACGAGCTATTGATCGATCAATATCTATCTATCTATCTATCTATCTATCTATCTATCTATCTATCTATCTATCTATCTATCCATTTACCATCTATCTATCCCTCTATCCATTTACCATCTATCTATCACTCTATCCATTTACCATCTTTCTCTCTTTCTATTATCTATCTATCTATCTATCTATCTATCTATCTATCTATCTATCTATCTATCTATCTATCCATTTACCACCTTTCTCTCTATTATCGATCAAACGATCTATTGATCGATCGATCAATATCTATCTCTCTATCTATCCATTTACCATCTATCTATCCCTCTATCCATTTACCATCTTTCTCTCTCTATTATCTATCTATCTATCTATCTATCTATCTATCTATCTATCCATTTACCACCTTTCTCTCTATTATCGATCAAACGATCTATTGATCGATCGATCAATATCTATCTCTCTATCTATCCATTTACCATCTATCTATCCCTCTATCCATTTACCATCTATCTATCTATCTATCTATCTATCTATCTATATCTATCTACCTATTTTCCATCCATCCATATTTTGTGCTTTACAGTTACATTTACAAACATATTAAATCATATAGAAATTCTGTGATGTACAACACTTTAAATCATTAATGACTGGTCGAAAAGACACTAGTGAATGTATATCTGTATAAAACATTACTAGAACTTTTTTTTTTCTATTGCAGAATAAAGCAGAGATGTCCAGACTGGATGTGTGCTGGTTCAGCAGTGACAGAGTTAAGAAGAGGGTGTGTGCTGTCACATTTTCCGCAGATCTGTATTATTCTGGGGAGATGGTTTGTGTTATTTGAAAGTAAATACAATGTATACATAAAACAATGTAGCATCTTGCTGGTATTATTCTATTTCTAGCTGACTGCTGATGTAGCTGTGTTTGTTTTGCACATCCATGTCGTTCCATTCAGGGAAGCACTGACACTGGGTCTGCAGGGTGTTTCCTGTGCCCTGGTGCCTGCAGAGCCCCAGTATGATGTGATGGATCCCTTTGTATCAGATGGGATAGGTGGATGCTGATGGGGCTGCAGAGAGTGTGTCTGGAGAGGTGGGCGTGTCCTGCTGTCAGGCAGAGCAGGGCTGTATATAAAGTGATGGTGGGAGTCTGCAGTGTGCATTGTGTGCAGAGGGGAAGCAGGAAGGTGCAGTAAGTTCAGCCATCACCAGCAGCATCCCACAACCACCTGCAAGGTCCAGCCATGACTTCCAGGGATCTCTACGCTTCATCCTACAAGAAGATCTTTGGAGATGCTCCCAGGTCCTCCAGCTACCTGTATACATCTAGCTCTAGGTCCCCTCAGATATACAAACCCAGAGACACCTACACCAGCATCTCTTCTTATAGGAAGACCAGCAGTAGGTCCCCAGGCAGCCACCTCGCCTCCATCCCTCAAGATCATTTTGACTTGTCCCAGTCCACCGCCCTCAGCAACGAGCTGAAGATCGTCAGGACTAATGAGAAGGAGCAGCTGCAGGGTCTCAATGACCGCTTTGTCACCTACATCGAGAAGGTCCACCAGCTGGAGCAGCAGAACAAGTTGCTGGAGGCAGAGGTGACCTTGTTGAGGCAGAAGCAGTCCGAACCCTCCAGGCTCAGCCAGGTCTATGAGCAGGAGATCAGGGAGCTGAGGTCCAGGCTTGAGGAACAACTCCATGAGAAGGACCAGGCTCAGCTGGACTGCCAGCAGCTGGAGAACTATGGCCATCAGCTGCAGGAGAAGCTGGCACAGGAGGCTGCCAAGAGGCAAGAAGCTGAGGAGGCCATGAAGGACTTCAGGAAGGATGTGGACCAAGCCACCCTGGACCGCCTGCAGCTGGAGAAGAAAGTGGAGTCCCTCCTGGATGAGTTGGCTTTCCTGAGGAAGGTCCATGAAGAAGAAGTGGCTGAGCTTCAGAGTGCTGTGACAGAGGCGCAGGTGGGTCTCCAGGGAAGGTCAGGAGGTGCTAGGCAGGGCGGTGGCTCATGCAGGGATGGGAGGGGGGAGAGCATCAGCATCTGTGTGATGAAGATCCATAGCAGGGCACTCCTTCTGAGTGATTCAAGTGGTTTACACTCAACACACTGGTTGCAATCTGATTGTACAATCTCCCTTATATAACTATGTGGTGCAAGAGCCTGACTAGATACAGATTCATTAGATTGTTTGGGTTTCTCCTTATTAAATATTTTGGTAAATCTAAAGTTGATTGTACAGATATTATACAGTCATATTTATATTGTATGGAGACCGTTATGTCTGTGCTATAAACCTTTCTACACGTTACATTAATATTATCTGGAGTTTTTAAAGGGGAACTCCAAGAAACTTTAAATTCTCCCTTGCAGTGGGGCTGCACCCGCATTGCAAGGGTTAACTATCCCTTTAGGTCTAGGGGGCATAGGAAAGTAGATTTACTTACCAAATCCTCCATGCTGCTATACAGGTTTCCGTAACGCCTTCTCTCCCATGCTTCTGTGGTCTAAGGTCCTGATGTCATCGATACTGATGCAGGGTCCACAGACCTGCATTGGATGTGAGGACTCCGAAATGCAATCCACAGCTGGAAAATGGGGGGGGGCATTATGTACTGGGGAGTGGAGGATTGGGTAAGTAAAATGATTTTACTCTCCCCTTAGCAACCAATTAACCCTTGGGGTGTGGGCACAGCCCCACTGCAAGGGAGAATTTTCAGATTTCCTGGAGTTGGGCTTTCATGCTGCATGTTATTTGTTCCTACAGTCTTGGAGGGGTTAGCCACATACACTGAACATGTTTTCTACGGACACATAGGAGACACCTTCATATGTTATATAATATCTCTGCAGATTTTAATAATATTTAAAATTCATAGAATGATTGAATTTGTAATGGAGAGCCAGGTTCTGCACTATCATTGAAGACAGTGAAAGTGACATACACAGACTCAGCAGTAAGGAGTCCCTGAAAATTAATAAAAATATATATTCTTATACAGGAATTATATAGCACCAATAGTTTGCACAGTGCTTTACAAAATAAAAGGAGACAGAACGGTTACAATTTGATCCAAAAGAAGAATTAGGAGAGCCCTGCTCATGAGAGCTCACAATCTAAAAGGGAGGGGCAAGTGACACAAAAAAGATAATAACCAGAGGGATGAGCTGATGGAGAAAGTAAAAGTACAGTTCATTAGGTGAAGATGAGATAGGCTAGTTAGGCAGATAAAAAGCAAATTGCTAATACTCTGTATTTGTATCTGTGTGCAGAACAGACATCATAGTAAAACTAATCAGGTTATGCTGAGTTGGGCTAAAAGGAAAAAAAAGCCCCTTTGGTCAATAAGCCTTGATCTGTAGAAGCCATGGTTTCCATATACTGCACCAAAGATTCTCAACAATTCTGAAACAATTCTATTCAGTTTGTAATAAAATATAGTTTAATATTAATCTGTATCTGTACTGTAAATCATCGGCTCTGGATGTTGCATTGGCCCCAGGAGCAAATAAGGAATGATTTGCATACTCCACCCACTATCCTAAAATGAATAAACCCTTCATCTTTAATATATGTGATAAAATTCAGAAATGTAGATACCTTCCGTTTTAAGAAGGTTCTACTGTACTTACGGGAAATATGATAAACTAAAAGGCGCAATAAAGTGAATTTAGAATGATATATTAGTATTTATTGCACTTAAGTGAAAGAGGAGCTAACATATCCACTGACATTAAAGTATTGTATACATATTCTAATAACTGCATGTGGTTAATACTTTTAATGATTAAAAATAGTATACAAATACCTTCTTTTATTCTTTTATTTTACACCTTTATGTAAAATTTTCTACAAATCTCCAAGTGGACCAGAAAAAAAGTGACCATACCAGCGTTTAGGGGAGGGCAATAACATGGCCAGAGGTGCTAAAAGTCCTTTTATTCATATGGTTCAGAACAGCTTTTTCTGTTTTCTATAATTTTGTTGTACCTGTTCAAGCACCCAGGGGCATAATGGTTCTGCAATGCTGCATTCCATTTGTTCCTACAGTCTTGAAGAGAACACCCACCCACGTATGCTAAACATTAGTGGGGAGTGGCACTCCAAAACATCCACATAAGGGATGTTTTCTAGGGACACATAGGCATCACCCCATATAGCTATATAATATCTCTGCAGATACCCTGGAGTAGATTGAACAAGTGTACAGATACTGAATATCGTAGAACATCTGAATGCAAGGTGAACTTTCTGTAGACAGAAGAATTGGTATCTGGGTATCAAAGTGTTAAAGCAATCTTAGTACCATTAACCGATTGTTGGTATACTGCATATTTCCCCATCATCTCCTCTTGTTGCAGTATGAAGGTTTTGCATTGCGTTGGTGAGACCCATTAGCCATACTTCCATTGGTAAAGACAGTTCAATTTGGCTGAGGTTTGTGAGATTTTATTGAATTCTATTGCTGTAAAAAGCTGAAAGTAACCCCCTGGGAGAGGCTGACTGCAGTGCCCTTCAATTGGATTATTGAACAGGAAGCAAAATATATACTGCTAAGTAGTCGCTGGCAGTATTCCTTCTGGAAATTTCTCTCAGTCGGGTGGGATAAAGGAGTGGCCGGATAGTCAGATAGTTGCGCAGGGGGGTCTTCATATGAATTTATTACAATGACTTTATTAACAGTGATAGACCAAATACCCCTGTGTCATGAGTTAACTTTGCTATATATGCTGAAGGGGAGCTGTTGTTCTGCTGGTGTTCCTGCCCTCCCCCCTTCTTCCTGCAGACTTTAGGGACCCCTGATCCCATACTCAATTGGCACTTCTACAACCTGCACAACCTCCACCATGGGTACTGATCCATGAGGTGTGGTCATATTGATGCAGCCTATTGCTTTCCACCCCAACTACTGGGCATCTGTCAGCCAATAAGCATCAATAACAGTGTGGTCAGATGGCTGCCGGGGCTGTTGTATCTAAGCAACCAATAAAACAGTGGTAGATGCAAATCTGTTAGGTGCTGCAGATCATGTTAAAAATGGCCTTGGAAATACATTGACCAGGTCATCAATGTGATTGATGGCGGAAGCTCTAGAAATATTCATCTGGAACAGCAATTAATCAACAACAGACAACAGGCATTTGCAGTAATTGTAAGAGTTCAGTACACATATTTGGAAATCTTGGTGATCCAACATTTGAATGTCAATTAAATGTGTGCAGGGACAAAGTGTAATAAACTGTCGCAATACTGTATCCACCAAAGATTGTCATTTTATAGCATAGATACTTTGGGAAGATGTTCTTCATAAGTTACAAAGAGTCTCAAGTGCAAACTGCTAAGTGATCATCATTCAGTGCACTGTGGATGTTACAGTGGGGAAAATAATTATTTTATCCCTGCAGATTTTTGTTAGTATGCCTACTTGCAAAGAAATGAAGGGTCTATAATTTGTATCATAGGCGTATTTTAAATGATAGAGACATAATATCAACCAGAAAAAAACACATGATACAAATGTTATAAATGAAGTTGCAGTTCAGTGAGTAAAATAAGTATTTGATCCCCAAGCGAAACATGACTTGGTGGAGAAATTCTTGTTGGAAAGCACAGAGGTCAGATGTTTCTTGTAGTTTGTTACCAGGTTTGCACACATCTCAGGAGGGATTTTGGTCCACTCTTCTTTACAGATCTTCTCTAAATCCTTAAGATTTCTTGGCTGTCACTCGGCAACTCGAAGTGTCTGCTCCCTCCATACATTTTCTATAGAATTAAGGTCTGGAGACTGGCTAAGCCACGTCCTTAATGTGCTTCTTCTTGAGCCACTTCTTTGTTGTATTGATGGTATGTTTTGGGTCATTGTCATTCTGGAAGATCCATCCACGACCCATCCTCAGTGTTCAGACTGAGGGAAGAAGGGTCACATCCAAGGTTTTACAATACATGGCCCCATCCATTGGCCCTATCAATGCGTCAAAGTCAGCCTGTACCTTTAGCAGAGAAACAGTCCCAAAGCATAGTGTTTCCACCTCCATGCTTGACTGTAGGGATGGTGTTCTTAGGGTCATAATCAGTATTTTACTTCCTCCAAACACGGCAAGTCAAGTTAATGCTGAAGAGCTCAATTTTGGTCCCATTTGGCCACAGAACTTTCTCCCAGTCCTTCTCTGAATCATTTAGATGTTCATTGGCAAACATCAGATGGGCCTGTGAATGTGTCCTCTTGAGGAGGGGGACCTTGCAGGCGCTACGAGATTTCAATCCATGGCAGCTTATTGTGTTACCAATGGTTTTTCTGGTGACTATGGTCCCAACTGCCTTGAGATCATTCACAAGCTCCTCCCATGTAGTTCTGGGCTGATCCCTCACTTTTCTAATGATCCTCCTTACCCCATGAGGCGAAATCTTGCATGGAGCTCCAGACCAAGGTGGTTGATGGTTATTTTTTATTTCTTCCATTTACGAATGATCACTCCAACAGTTGTCTCCTTCTCACCAAGCTTCTTGCTGATGGTCTTTAAGCCCATTCCAGCCTTGTGCAGGTCTGAAATCTTTTCCTGACATCCTTTGACAGCTCTTTGATCTTGCCCATGGTGGTGCCCAAAGAAAAGATTCTGTAGACAGGTGTCTTTTATACACATAACGAGTTGTCATTAGGAGCTTAAATCGACAGGACTAATCTGTGTACCACATGAGCACATAGCCAGTTTGTGGGAGCCAGAATTATTGTTGGTTGGTAGGGGATCAAATATTTACTTTACTCACTGAAATGCAACACAATTTATAACATTTGTATCATGTGTTTTTTTTCTGGATTATTGGTTGATATTCTGTCTCTATCATTTAAAATACATGTATGACAAAAATTATATACCCTTCATTTCTTTGTAAGTGGGCAAACGTACAAAATTTGCAGGCGATCAAATAATTATTTTCCCTGCTGTACATCTTTGGGTAAATAA